TGTGTGGATTGAAAATTAAAATACAATTTCGAATTTTCAATTCTTTTGATCCTTTTTCTATAGTTTATTTACTAATAAAATAATATTTATACGATAAAATTCATGGAGTCAACACGTGTTACGTGACCCACAGGGTCCTCTAGTGCTTTAGCCCTGGGGGGTAACATGGGTATTAAATGAAAATGATAAATTAATACATTGATATTTAGCAGTGAATGTCATCCAAGTAGGTGGGAATGGATAATTTTTTAAACATAATATTTTGTCATAGGTATTAAGTGAAAGCTAATAAAAAAATTAATTGATCACATTGGTACTTAACACTAAAAACATTAAGTCTATAATGGTATCGAATGTGAAGGCTAATAAGGAGATTAATTGATTTTCATCACTACATCTTTAAAATAGGTAAGGGGGTTGGGAATTAAAATTTTTCTAATATAATATCTTAACATGGGCATCAAACAAAAGCTAATTAAAAGATCAATTGATTAAATTGTTACTCATCTATTCAGAGTTGATATTATAAGGTTTGGGGTTAAAAATATCATAGCATAATATGTCTACATAATAAGTAGATCGATTGATTACATTGATACTAAACACTTTACGTCTTTGGGGTGAGTGCGGTGGGATAAAACTTTTACCATAATATTTTAATACTGTTATCTTGAAGCCAATATAAAGATCTACTGATAACATTGTACTTTTTACTCATCACTATATTTTTAGGGGTATTGTGACTAGCTTTTCAAGTATGGGTATTATTTGAAAGATACCTGAACTGAATGTTTAATTTACCCCATTATATTTAGCTATTTACAAATCAACAGATTCACTTTTAAGAATAAGCCTCGTAATTAGACATTTTTATTTCGAGGAACCGGCAAAAACATAGACAAAGTGGGGAAGGGTATGACATAATATCGTCTTTAAAATTAGAGGGTGCATAAGTCTATGGGAAGGGTTCAACAGTTTTTTGAAATTGTAATCTTATATTAATTCATAAAATAAATAATACTAAGAAAAATATTTCTGAGAAATTAAGTACTTAGTTCTGAGCGTTTGGTATATTTTTCTGAGCGATTATTTTTTAATATGAGCGTTTTAGTTTTATATTTGAGCCATGGGCAATTAAGTTTTTTGTCTAGGTATTAAGAAATAATCTGAACATTCAGCATTATTTCTGAGCCATATGTATTTATTCTGTACGATTAAATAGGAGTCATAAAATATTAACTATATATCAGAGACCTTGTAAGCCCCTCCCTAAGTCCGGCCCGGGTACACGGGCCGGGCCGTATTTCAATTTTTTAAATATACCCGGGTCGGGCCAGAATATTTTTTTAAATATACCTGGGCCAGGCCAGAATATTCGTTTTAAAAAAAATATCCGGGCCTAGCCATATATTTTTTAAAACCAAATATTTGAAATTGCTATTATTAGCTATAAAAATTAAAAATAAATATAATATATTTTTAAAAAATCCGGGCCGGGCCTAGAATTTTTTTTAAAAAAAGCTAGGCAAGGCCAGGCCTGAAAATAAAACCCGGGCGAGGCCGAAAAAAATTTTTGAAAAAAAATGCAGGAGGACCGTGCAATTAATATCTCTGCAGGTCTCTGATATATAAAGGGCATATGAATCACTATAAAATAAAATAAATATGTCAAAAGAACTTTGTGACGAAAAAAATTTGTAACATAGATTTTTTAAGTATTTAAAATTTTATACGTAAATTTAAATTATATTTTTTTAAAAAAATGTTGGAAAAAACATAAATTAAAGCACAAAAATATTCTTAAGAATTATTGCATATATGTATATAAACTTACAAAGTATTTATAAAAAAAATATGATGTATTAAAAAATCCAAAAAAAATTTATAAAGCATGTTATAAATTTATAATGTTAAATATAATTTTCTTGGGGATTGATATAACTTCTAAACGATTTTATCAACTCCCTATGCATATAAAGAAGGGCTAACCCATTCAATCTATTTTCAGGGGTAACACTTCTCAGTACTGTTGTAAAAGG